ATAGTATGCTCCGTTGTTCTTTCCCCCATAAGAGCAACTTGTCTTGTCCTGAATTGCTTTTTGAACCACAACAAACACCCAGTTATTTGTTAAGATCCTGTGGACCCCATCTGCATCTCGTCTTCCAGATAAAATGTTTTGATGAATTATTTCCCCTCAACACACACAACATCACACACATACACCTGACATGTGACACCAGACACACCTTTCTCCAGCGGCAGAGGAATGGAGGGATTCCAACATACCAGTGCTCCATGAGATCCTATTCTCTTCCTCAGCATCTCCTGGGGCCACACAGGCTGGGTGTGTGAGACAGACAACAGTCTCTCAGTCCCATCACAACAAAGGTAACCAGTCACTCGCACACCTCAGGGCCTCAATCCGGTTTCAATACACTTTATGTGTTCGGATCACATCAGCACGAAACTGGCAGCCAGAGTGAATGGAATCCGAGACAGGAGGAGGAGGTTTTGTTTTTTTAATGTTTCTGTTTATGTGTTTTTTTTGGTGTGGCGCTGTGTGTTCATCCCCTGTGACTGAGTGTGTGTGTGTGTGTCAGTGTGTGTGTGTGTCAGTGCAGCTGTGTAACCAGCCCCTGTGTTGACAGTGCCAGTCCAAACACAAACATCATTGGTTTTTAATGATGTGATTATCAGGCAAAACACACACACACACACACAAACAAACAATGTGATTTGATTCATGTGGTTAATTAATACATACGTATAAAAAACTGTTTGAAATTCTGTCTGTGTGTGTGTGTCTGCCTGCTGCACTGTGTGAACTTGTGTATGTGCATAAATTCATATAAGTGTGTGTGTGTGTGTGTGTGTGTGTGTGTGTGTGTGTGTGTGTGTGTGTGTGTGTGTGTGTGTACAGTAGGACGACTCTGAGCAGCATGTGTCTCAGTAGCAGCTGACAGATTGTGACTACACACACACACACACACACACACACACACACGTGTCCTCTGCAGGTTGCACANTGTGTGTGTGTGTGTGTGTGTGTGTGTGTGTGTGTGTGTGTGTGTACAGTAGGACGACTCTGAGCAGCATGTGTCTCAGTAGCAGCTGTCCAGAGGCCAGGTGGCTGAACTGACCTCTGCACGCGCGCGCACACACACAGACACACAGACACACAGACACACACACACCTTCAACTTTACTGCATGGCCATAAACCAAATATAACACAAACAGCTCCTAAATCAACAGGCAGATTGAGCAGCACCAACATCGCAGCCGTCAGACAGAGTCACTTCTCATTAGCAGCTCCTGAAGCCTCCAAACCTGACAAACACAGCATCGTTAGATATTGAAGTTGCACCTTAAGATGGAATTTTAAGAATATAGACGTATGAATGAAGTTTCAAACGGGATTTCATAAACACAGTATTCTTTTGTCCAGTTCTTTTGCTCAGGCACATTTGAGTTACGCAGCTGTTATTCTTTCTTTTGCATGACGTTGTCAATAGGTGGAAGTCTTCATTTGTATGTGGTTTTATTTATTTAATCAGACGTGGGTTGGGCCATTCTTCCATTATTTGTACAATTAACAAAGACTGTGGTCTAACATGAAAAGGGACTGGATTTACTGCAGCTCACCTGCTCACTGCTTCACATGACTGGTGTTATTCTCTCTGAGCTCCAGAAGTGATCTTCATTGTGATGATGAACCAGAGCTCCCACTGGAGGATACCGCAGTCAGAAAAATATTATGATTTGCCTTAAAAGCCAATGTGTAATATGTTTTAATCAAAACCTCATGTTTGTATCTAAATTAGAGTAAAAACTGAACATTGAGCAGTGTTGACGATGTTCTCCATCACAGAAACCTAAATCAAGTTTGTCAAGCTTCACCTGTATTCAGATGTAGGGTCAAAGGGTCAAAAACTTTTTCACATCATGAGAACAGAAATGATTTGTAACAACTTCTAAAAACACAGTGTCAGCTTCCTGGTTATGATTGACCAACTTTGAATACATGAATATATTTCAGTCACAGTCACTTGCTGCTTTAGCACATTCTGCACTGTCCAAACAGATTAACTATAGATTTAATAGACGAACATATGAGGTCATATGTGATATCACTATTACATGAAAAGACCCCCAACATTGTATGGCAGGTGTGTTTTTATTCTCCTCTTG